GCTAGATCAGTTACGACTGAGTAGAGAGTCTGATCCTCACTGGATGCTCCATATTTTCGGCCTTGTGCCAAAACAAAGCTACACTCTGTAAATCGTTATAACTTTAAAAAAAAAAAACCGCATCCTAGAATGTATATAAAACACACGTCACAATTGGCCTACGTCACAACACCCGTTGCCTACATAATAATATTTACTAGTTCTAGGAAACTCACTAATTATCTCAACAACCTTGATTATGACTTGAGAGTGTCGAAAGCTTGGACTATTTTTCTTGTAGTTTTCTTCCGAAATGAACTTCTGAAGAAATTTCCTCCTTCTCCGAGAAGGATTATTCGTAATTTGGAAAACACTACATGTGATTGTTTATTTTTTTGTGTGTGTATGTGTGCACGCAATATGTATTATATTATGCTAGATAATCGAATATTTATGTTTAAACGCGTTGAATCGAACAATTTATCGACTGTCAGTAGAATTACCGCTGCTACTACAACGTTGAAAAATGCCATTAATTATCCTAGACATGAATCGAAAAAGGTGTAATTTCGAAGGTCCAATGAAGACATCTTTTACAGTCATTCATGTGATCTTTTTTTTTTCTAGCCTCATAAAGAATATAAACGTAACGGAACTGTGAAATCCCTGAAAAACGCCTGAAGCGTTTAGGATCAAAGCACAACAATTTGCTTTTATAAACGTTTGATGCATATATATATATATATATATATATATATATATATATATATATATATATATATATATATATATATGGAGAGAGAGAGAGAGAAGAGAGAGAGAGAAAGAAGACAATGAAATCAAGGAAGCTATATGAAGATTGCTAAATATTAGAAATAGAACGTTTATATACATACAGGGTGATTGAAAAGTAACTCTCCATTTTAAAATTTATTTATTAACTAAAATTGTTTCAAGAAATGAATATGCAAGGAAAGCGTTTAGCATAAGGTTTTTTTTATTTAAAATTCAATATCGGCACCAGATTTTGCTACCAGCATCTCGAGATGCACAGGAATTTTGTCAATTGATTTCACCAGGAACTCCCGTGGTATTGAAGACATAACTTCTTGTATTTGCCTCTCAATTTTTCCAAAAATCTTGGTTTGGTATAGCAGACTTTCTCTTTTAACCAATCCTAAAGAAAAAAAAAGAGTCACATGGTGTTAAGTCATTACTCCTGGCTGGCCAATCATACATAAAAGAGGGAGTTACTTTTCAATCACCCTGTAGATAATGTATATATAGAAACCAAGACTGCATTAATACATGCAATGTAATGCAAAACAGGCAGTAACCATTCCTTTGTACACGTTGTCACTATCTATCTACTTATAATTATTTTAAAATCATTTCTTTCCAAGCAAGGGAGTAAAGTCACTCAGACGCAAGGGGTTACTGAGTGTGAGACAATATGAACGCCTACCGGAATTTAAGCTCACCCCAGAACTCAAGTGGAACTTGTATATACCATCCATCGCTAACGGTATTAGAAAATGACCGGTTCTGTCTACCAATTCAGTAAGTACCTGATTCCTATTATGATTTACATTTAGTAACTTCAGATCAGACTTAGAATGGAGTACTGCTGCTATATCTGGTCTGGAACTGCTCAGTCTTTGCTTTCTTGTCTCATTAGAATCCATTAGCGTCTACGCGACCTCGTGATTGATAGATTACTTTCCACTTTACAACCCGTTTTCTCTGCAGATGAAATGTTGCAAGCCTTTCATTAATTTATCACTATTTATATATGAAATGCTCAAACGAACTACATTCCAAAGTTCCACCATTTCTAAACATCACAGATATGATCCACCACACCGCGAACACTGGAGCAAACCACCGTCGAAAGGAAGTTCAATTCCGATAGATTCTTCCCAAGAACTTTTGCTTTGGGAAACAGAATGCCAAGAGGATGCTTTCCCGATTATTAAAATCATAGCCGTTATGTTTCATACATATCATTATAAACTACGTCACTTCCTCTTACCGTTCATACAACAACGACCTTCAGCAAATCCTCCGAGTGGCCCTTGGACCTTGTATGGTGCAAAAATTGGCAATGAGCACTGTTTTTTTTAAAATAAAAACAAAAATAATAAAGAACTTCTGATTATTTACCTAACGTGTTCTTTCCTATTTTTCTATATATTTGCGCGCACACACACATACGCACACACACACACACACACACACACATATATATATATATATATATATATATATATATATATATATATATAATCGACTCTCCCGTCGAGATTCGACGTATGAGGGTCAAACAGATAAGTTTCCAGGAAACCGACAGCCCGACACCGGCACATGAGATTTGATTATAGTGGTGAAGGCCTCGTGCAGGACCATCCACACTTTTTGAAGGGACGAATACAGAGACCTGTGAAGCGAATGCCACAAGGTTCCCAAACGACCCTCCGCAGGTTTTGAATTCAGAGTTGTCCTTCTCCTAGACCAGTTGCCATCCAAGGCTATAGAACCCAGTCTGTCCTGCTGTTTTACCCATAGCTGGAGGGAGAGGAAGAGGATTCATACCTTTCCCAAGGGTATTAGCACGTAATACGTGCTAATATATATATATATATATATATATATATATATATATATATATATATACTTACGTGCTAATATATATATATATATATGTATGTATATGTAAGTGAACATTGAAGTCACCACTTAGAGGCGACAGGCTGTTTCATGCTAGACGCAATCGTCAGGCTACCATATACAAAGACAAATATAAAAGTGGACATTGTACTCTCAATTTCTTTCGTTTTCATAAACCCCTTGTATTGCATCTTAGTGGTTTTATCATTTTGCATGAAGTGAAATGATTTTTAAAAATCAGGTCATGATTTTTAAAAATCTGGTCATGGTTAAGAAACTGAACCTAAAAAATAATAATGATAAAAGCGAAACAAACATTTTAATTGTGTAAATGATTGGAACGAAAAATTATTACGATGATAGCGATGATAGGACACATATGCACGAATCGATTGTTTTGTAATTGATTACTTATCTCTAAGTCTCGCTACCTACGTGATTACATCTCATATGTGAGATCACATCTCATATGAGCGATATTTTTCTTTTTTTCTCGGTCGTTGAGACTAAACAACGAATATCAAGTGCAGCGTAGATTCTACCATTGTATGTTCTTACGAAATGCGTAGAACATAATTTTCCTTTTCTTTCGTCACCTTTTCATTAATTAAAACAAATGTTTTCAAAGGCGTGCATTCAAACACACACTCACTGTTTCACATACATATACACACAAATACACAAAATCATACACACACACACACACACACTTCCTTTGTCCCTTTTCTATATAAATTGATATAGGGGGCTTCGGCGAGTAGACTTTTCTGTTAAATATTATACCATTAAATACTCTTTAAGACTCTCGTCATGGTTAGCAAGCTGTTCTCACGAAACATTTTTTCTTTTACCTAGTACAAGACTCAAGAACCACTCAATGTAGAGATTTAACGAATGGGGCCATTGAAAGTAGTTAACATTTGACTCCAGACTGGAAGAAGTTAACATTGTTGTGATCTGGGAAGCATCCTCTCGGTAATCTGTTCAAAAAATTAGCTGTTCTTGGGAAGAAGCTGTTCGAATGGAATACGAAAGGAACGAGGATGATTCAACCCTCTGAATTCGATCCTCAATAGATGCTCTGTAATTTACACCATATGTAACCGACGCTTACTGAATAATAACATCTGGCATATTGCAGAATCCCTTAAACTTTGACCTTGTGCAAAACTAAAAAGATCTTAAGCTCGTGACTTTAATAAACGTTCTGGAGAGACATTGGCTAGTGGAGTGTTTTCGATTACTATTAGAGCCCTTACAGTTTAGTCTTGTGCCTAACTAAATTACGCTTAGTAAATATTTATACACGTATATTCGTAAATGCGTATTTAAATTTGGAAACAAAATCTAACGCAGCTGAAAGAGACTGAACCAAACAAAAAGCGAGGCAGATTGAATTTCGAGAAATTAATGAAACTAAGACATATTAAAATCACTAAGCCGATCAAAGTGTTTACAAGAAGAAAAACAAAAATTAAATGACAGTACATGGCATGATTTTAAAAGGCAGCTGTGATGAATGTCTTAAATAATTGACCACAAGTGATGAATTTAATAGAAAGCTTTTGCATAAGATTACCCGACAATGACAATTAAAGATTGATTTTTTTCACCAACTCAGACTAAAATACTTCACGTATTATTTTATATTATTTTATTTGCTTTTGAGAATTATTAGAACAAGGACAAAGATTTTAAGAATAAGAAATTAAGCCAAATTTTTAGCATGTGTTCCATTAGAATTTTAAATGTAACGTGGATTGAGTTGTTGATCAATTGTTGCATTTTATTTGTGCAACTTAGATCTGGCTTAATGTAAAAACACCACATATCTGTGCATGTCAGAGCCCTACGCAGAATATTAAAAAGAAAACAATTGTTTGATAGATCGTCAAATGTTGAGGGAAATGTATCACTGTTAGTTATTTGGTGTGGATGTGCAGGTGGTACAATGGATAACAGCTCGGAACGAGAACTAGGAGATCCGAGTTCGAATTCCAGTCAAATTCGTTACTTCACCCGTAAGCAAATAACCTTTAGAAAGGTATGAATCCATCACTTCCCCGACTATCTATGGGTTAAATAGTAGGAACAGTCATTGTCTCCAAAAATCTTTGATGCAATATTCACTATGTCATTATCTGCAAAAAAGAATTATGCTTACACTTCGAAAAATATATTTCAGGTATAAAAAGGTGTTGATAAACCGTAACTCTTGCGAACGGTATTTTCTCTTGCGAAAGGTATTTTGGCAAATTAACTGGCACGAATCTACAAGTGAGCGGATTTTCCACATAAAAACCAAAACGGTGTGCTAAGAATTATTCCACAGCAAAGCATTTACATCGTTTAATTCATTTCAGCAAAATACCACTTAAGCAGAGCGCGGTGAGGAATGAATCTATATTCAAAAGAACTGACTGTGAGTCAAAAGGTGTAACAACTACACGAAAGCGAGGTCTGAAAAATTGTTTTTATCGTATTTGAGGGATTTGGTAAAAATAATGTGAAGGGATTTCATGTATATATATATATATATATATATATACAGAGAGAGTGAGAAAGAAATAAAAAGAGATAGAGAGATATAGATGGAGAGAAATAGATAGAGAGGTAGTGATATGAAGAGATAGATAGGAAAAGAGATGGAGAGGGAGAAGGAAACTGATAGAGAGAGATAAAGGAACAGAAATAGAGATAGGGACAATGTGATAGATAGATAGATAGATAGATAGATAGATAGATAGATAGATAGATGTGAAAAGACAGACTGACAGAAATGGGTGAGTCTGAGTGAGAAAGACAGATTGATAAAGAAGCAGACAAAGAGAGAGAGAGAGAGAGAGAGAGAGAGAGAGAGAGAGAGAGAAAAGATAGATTGATAGATGTGAGCAGACTGTGATATATAGATAGAGACAGAGTGTGAGATAGATGAAGTTAGACAGATAGATAGATAAATGTAGTGTGGTAGATAGAAAGATAAGGATACATAGAGAGAAGGATAGAGAGATAGAGTGAAAAAGAGAGAATAAACAGATAGATGTGAACAGACTGTGATTATATATATATATATATATATATATATATATATATATATATATATATATATATAAATCAATGGGCGCGTGGCCGATGGTTAGAACTTTTGCTTTTTGACAATCGGACTCAGGTCGATTTGCCATGATCGATTTGTCAGGAGAGTGACTTTCTGATGTTATCGGACTGGATAGAGGTCCATCCCAGCGTGCAGCATCTTTAGAAAGTGCCTGAAAACCATACCATAGGTTGACCAAAGCCTTGTGAGTGAAATTGGATGTGGACCATCGATAGCTCTGCTAGCACGTAGCCATAAGTCATAAACAGAGTGATACTTAGAGAGATAGAAAGTGAGAGAGAGAGAGTTATAGACATAGAGAGAGAGAGAGCTGAGAAACATATGAACAGACTGATATATAGATATATAGATAGATAGATAGATAGATAGATAGATCGGGACACACACACACACACACACACACACATATAAAGAGATAGAGAGAGATACATTGACAGATAGAGATTAATATAAAGACAGTCAGAGAGATAGATAGATAGATAGATAGGTAAAGAGAGAGGGATACATAAATACATATACTGAGCGAGATAGATAGATAGTAGAGTAGAGAAAGAGGGGCAGAGACTGACAGATAGAGAGAAATATAAAGAGAGAAAGTGAGAGCTATAGAAAGAGAGAGAGAAAGGTAAATAAATTGCGGGATAGACAGATTGAGAGAGAGAATGACAGAGATAGAAATAGAGAAGAGACAGATAAATTGTGTGCTAGACAGATAGTGAGATAGTCAGAGATAGATATATATAAGTGAGCGATACAGATAGAAAGAGACATTCAGATAGATAGAAAGATGTGTACAGACTGTGACACACACTCACACACGCACGTACGCACACACACACGCGCACACACACACACACACACATATATATATACATATATATATACATATATATATATATATATAATAAAAAGGCTTAAACACTAATATTCCATGGTCATAATTTATTCCATTGGTATCGTAAATACGATCCAATTCATCAGACCTACAAATTCAAAAGGAAAACAGAAAAAAACAACTCCGGAAATAAAAACAGAATTTTTACCACTGATATTATATATATATATATATATATATAGTTCGGGAGAGGTTAACTCGAATCAAAACCGGAGAAAGAAAAAAACACCAGCATATAGGAGCCATTTATATATATATATATATATATATATATATATATATATATATATATATATATATATATATATAATTTATTCTAAAATTATAAAATATATTTTCTAACGTATTTATGTCATAATTTTCGAATAAATTATATTTGCTCAACTCTGTATTAAGCACTTTTAAGAACAGTATTTTTTGGTTATTAGAATTTATTCCGTATATACCAATCCAAAACTATATATATATATATATATATATATATATATATATAGAGAGAGAGAGAGAGAAAGAAATACGGACACATATATAGATAAATATATATAGAGAGATATAGATAGATGTAAAAAATGATAGAGAGAGTGTGAGAGAGATAGAGAGAATGAGAGAAATGTACAGGCAAATAGATATATAGGTATATAAATGTGAATAGACTTCAATCGATAGACAGACTGTAAGAGAAATAGATAGAGAGAAATAGAAAGTGATATAGTGAAAGAAAGAAATCGGTAGATAGATAGAGAGAGAGAGAGAGAGAGAGAGAAAGACAGTGAGTGGATGAAAGATACAGACTGTAAGAGAGCCAAAATGAGAGGATGAATGGCTAGAGGGATAAGCTTTTTAGTTGTGTAATTGTATATATCTACTGTCGCCTACTTTCCTATTCATATAAAATTATTCCCAAACGAATGCAGTTATTTTTCTTCGATGTAAATAAATTACAGTGTTTTGTATTTTCGTGTTTTTCTTCAAATGGACGAGTGTAATTATTAATAAAATTCTGAAAAGATAAATAAAACTAAAAATTCTCCCTTTAAACACGTCTAATTGGCAATTGCTGGATTTAATTTATTTTAGAAAGCGCTAACATGCTATTTCCGCTCAATTTTGGCCGTTATTATTGCTCGCTTATTGAAACTGATTAAGCAGCTTATAAGGCAGCGATTTGGGTCGAAGTTTTTATCGTTTTCAATGTCTTCTTCTAATTCTTTAATGTCTTCTTTTATTTTTACGTTGAACGCAGAACCATTTGTTTTTTCCTTCAAATTCTTTTTATGGTTCTTAAGAATTTTCGTTATTAGATTCTCTATTTTCATTAAATTCTTTCGCTACACATTTATCTTCTTCCTTTATTTTTCGGTCATTCAGCGGATATTTTGGCTTCTTCTTTGTCTTGATATTTTACCTTCATGTATATTTTTTTTCTTCAATATCTTCACTTTCTTCGGATTTTTTTTTTTTCAATTTTCTTCTTTTTTTGAAGACCGATTCTCTTGAAGGTTTTATTATTATTGTCATTCTTAGTATTAATTTCTTAACATTTGTCATGATGGTGATGATATTTATTCTTCTTCATCTTCTTCTACATCTTCTTCTTCACCTTCTTTATCATTTCCTTCATTATCGTCTTTTCCTTCATCTCTTTCATCATATTCTTCATCTTCATCATTTTCTTAGTAATCTTCTTAATCATCATCTTCTTCTTCATCTTCTTCCTTTTCTTCTTCTTCATCTTCTTCTTTTTCTGATTATCGTCGTCTTCTTCATTTTCTTCATCATCTTCTTCTTGATCTTCTTCAATATCTTCTTGTTCTTTGTCTTCTTTTTCTTGTTCTTGTTCTTCTCCTCCTCTTCTTGTTCTTCTTCTTCTCATTCTTCTTCTTCTTCTTCTTCTTACACTTATTCGCAATGTGAGTTTCCGTTTCTTTTTTTAAGCCTGATTTTAGAGTTACTCTCTTCATCTGTTTTTATAGTTTTTTATTTAATTATTCATTCTTTCTTCCTTTCTTTCATTTTTTATTTCTTCTTCCTTTCACAATTTCTACAATGATGGTCTTTCCTCTTTCAACAACAAAATATTCATAAAAAATGATATTTTCCCCAGCAGAATTTAACTTTCAAAAATAATTCAAAAATAATCATCGTGATTCCTGAAAATTACTACAGCAGATCGAAATTGACATGTTACCTACCAGTTATTTTTACAATCAGAATGAAACATCCAGCAACATTTAAGTCACAGTAGAAGAATTTTTCCTTAGAAAGAGGTATAGATTTAGACTTAGTAAACTTTTCAGCTATCTCCTCGGTAAAGAATTATATATATATATATATATATATATATATATATATATATATATATATATATATATGACTTTTTGGTCACATTACGCTGTAGCGTGAAATTTGAAAAAGGTCTCCGAACTTTTTTCTCTTACTGAATATAGTGACGCTGGGAAACGTGTTTGCTCTGTCTTGGTAATGTAGCCATTGAGCACTTATTACGATAAACGTCCGACTTTTTTTTTCCAAGCTTATGTTTCCTTTTTTCTTTCATCGGTTTTTCTCCTGTTTTTTGTTTTTTTTATTGGTTGTTGTTTTCTCTTTTTATTTTCTTGTTCACCTGGCAGACATTGTGTTGTTTTCATCAACAATATATATATATATATATATATATATATATATATATATATATAACGCATGTAACAGTATAATTGTCCATCCCACAAAATGATTAATATCTAAAAAAAAAAAAAACATTAAACCAGTTCAGTTTCTTTTTTCCACGTTCGCAGATAAGACGTTTACCCATCTTGACACCCTTTCACAGAAAAAAACATTGATTTATTCAGCTAAAAAGATAACAGGTTAAAATCATTTTGTGTCAGCTCCACTCTCTTTCCAAATAAGCAATGGTGAGAGGAAAAAGATCATTAAGGCCTTAATTAATGTTACCAACATTCATAATCTGGCATCTCTCTTCAAAATCCATTAAAGAAGCATCAAGAAAACGGTGAATAATTTTTAAAAGGACACATCAGTAGAGAAGAAAACTGGATCAGTAGGTCACAAAAAAAAGAGGGGTTATCATTTCAACTTATATCTAAAGAGATCAATCAAAAAATATCCAACTTAATCCATAAGACGTTTGGCACGTCAGAGAGGAGTTTCAGGTATGACTGTCCAAAGAGCAGTGTAAAAAGACTTGAAAATGAAATCGTACGTGAAGCGTGTAAGGCACCTTGTTGCTCAGAAAATTAGAAGGTTAGAATTCCCATAAGTTATCTTTAATCATTTTCTAAGATACAACAATTCAAAACTTAACCTTTTACATGATTTGTACAATTTCTCTCTTACACCCAGTACATAAAACATTTCAGATATAATTAATATATATACATATATATATATATATATATATATATATATATATATATATATATAGTATAGTATAGTATAGTATAGACAACAGGAATACTTATATTAGTGTATGCAATTCGTCTTCTTATTGATTTTATCAAGACATTTGCCTTGATAAAGCCCATCGGAGAACCAAACGCGTCGGCTAAGGTAAGTTTTCTTTTGTCTTTATATATGTTATGTACACGTTTTCAAGACTTAATGAATGTAAGTATTGTTTACTCTTTTAAATGATGAACGTCTTTATTACAAGAAACCAACCGATATTAAAATCAATTATGAACACGGCCATTGTTTTCTGGCCTTATTTAGAGATTAAGAAAAAAAAATATATATATATATAATTTCAATAACTTTTATACCATCTAAAATAGCACAATTTATTCTAGAAGCATAACCCAAAAATAACAGTTGAAAATGGCTTACAGATTAGGCAAAAGTGCTCGGAAACGACAATGCATTTAAACCACAAGAACATATTAAAAATCTCTACACAATAGATTTCATATTCCGGCACTATAGTTGTGCCTCCTCAGGCGATGGTAAAGAACTGGTAAGTAAAAAGTTATTTCTAAATTTCAAAGCAGATAAAAACAAATCAAAATTAAAATGAGGGCTTTGGATTTACCCTAATTAACCAGTTAGGCATCAAACCTACATTAAATTTAAAAATATAACTTAAAATAAAAATGGTGAATTTTGATCATGGTAAAATATGGTTTGAAATATAATCCTAGACAAGGTCATGAATGACAGACAAGAAATTAACACACACTATAAGCGAGTGGCAACATGTTTCATAATTGTGAAGTAAATGTAACTTGGTCAATTTTATAAGAATCTAAGGGGAGGGGTAGAAAGATAATCAAACGTATAGCTAATTGTAACATATATTTTATAGTTGATAATAAAAAGGCTTCTTTAAGAAATCAGTAAATACAACAAGTGTTTAAAAATAATAAAAGTAATATTCATACAAGATGTTCATAATGCCGACTAAATAGCAATAAATAGCTATAATAAATTCAAAAACAAAAAATAATCATTCATAGAAGGTGCACTGAGATTACTAATTATGACCATATGAAATAGTACTAACAAATTTAAAGTTTAACCATTTTATAATGTGAAAGGTAAGTTATGCCTACCATTTACAGTTAATTCTTATCAGCAAATCTAATAATTTCTAATTTCTCGTGTAAGCATAAGAAGCAAGGTTCATTTAAGGAATTACAAGTTTTAGCTTTTTTTAAAACTTTCCATTTAACCATAGGTGTTTTATTAACATTTTTTAAATTCCAAAAATATTTGGAAAGAGATGTTCTATTTCTATAAGTGCTATTCGTGAAAGATAGGATATGTTGGTACCACATAGAATTTTAAAGAATTGTTAGTACTCCCTGTGACGTCGTCCCCCGGTCGCAGCGCCAACTGTGACGTTCTATCCTGATCTACCACGGCGCCAGTTGTGACGTCCCCAAACAGCACCAATTGTGACGTCCTCGCCGCGGCGCCAGCTGTTCGCTCCTCGCTGCTCCGTCCGGGTGTCGCTGCTCCAAACGTGACGTCCGCCTGTCGCGTCAGTCGTGTTGTCTCGTCCTGTGACGACCAACTGGCTTGGTATCGGTCGCGGCACCCAAATGTGACGTTCTAACCTTTTGGTGATTCGGGTGGGAATCTGGTTAGATTTGATATCAGCCTCGTCGTTCCCAACTCGCTTCCAACGCCTGGTTACCAAAGGTAACTGCATTGATCTCCAGTCTGCCTACCCACGTTGTGAATTGATCTTAGACAGACGAGATCAAACAGTGGTTGGGGCCGTAATGCAAATTGAGTTCAACGGGGGTGATACTACACAAATATGCATAAAAGAAAATAAAATGAAAACTCAAAAAGTTCAAAGTATCAAAGAAAAAGGTAACAAACTTTATGTCTAGTTGTTCGATACATAGGACTGTATCTATCTCCCGGCCCGTTCTATGGATTGTGACACGTCGTTTCCGCTAGGCAAGTTTCAACGCTTCAAGTTGTTCGCTCTCTAAGAAATTGGTGTTTCGGTGTGTCTTCGGACGAAAGTCGAAAAAAACTTATTTCGGTGGTCTGGTTCTAAGTCGCTCTTCAAAATAATTGTTCTTGGGTTGAAGAGGAGTCCGGAATTTGCGTGAATCTTGGTCAGCTATCTCCGAGGCGGTTTCAACTGGAGACTGACTCTGGGAACTCAACTCTGGAAACTCGAGCCCGAACTGATTTCTGCCTGTTGGGGCCTCGCTTTTATTGACGCCGACCAAAACCGGGTTGGGTCTGTTGGCGTCGGGGGTTCCTCGATAATTCTAAATACATATCCACCTCTTTTATTTATGGTTAGGGATTTTCCACTCTTTTCCATTTTTGGGAACCTTTCCTCACTCCCACTTTCTCACCATACCTCTGAGGAGCGTGAACTGCCCTCCCCACTTCTTTGTAGCAGCTTCTCATACTTATACTCTGGATGGTGCATCGACAGCCTTCTTCGTGCGTCACGTGATCACTCTCGGCCAATGAGGTCTTGGTCGGGTATCTTTCCTCCTCCTTCGTGCGTCACGTGATCACCACTTGACCAATGATGTCTTAGTCGGGCGTGAACAATCCGTGGCTTTGTTTCGGGAAAAAAAATATCTTGCTTAACTAAAAAAATTATCTCTTCTCTTTCCCTTTTCTTCCTTTCAATCGCCGTTATCACCCTTCTAGTCGCAACGGACAATATGACAACTCTTGTTTTACACGTGGTGTTTGTCAGGTATTTTATCGCTAATTTATCAAGATGGGTGGTATTCTTAACATGGCTTCAAAAAAGAAATATCCCCAAAGTTTTCAGTCAGTCTGTCGCCTCCAAGGAAGAAGAAAAAAACACTTCTGGGTCCCCATTCATTTTTCCCGGTACATATTCCTGATAACATAATTTTATTATCGCAGGCCAAAGTTGTTTCGTCGAAAAGAATTCCGTCAGCGAGACTGCTTGTGTGGGATTTAATTTTTCATATCTGTCCAAAGTCCTTTTAAGTGGCCTGTTTCTCGTCACTTATCGAAATAGCATTTTCACTTGAATTTTTCCTTGGCCAGTGGTCCAGCCGTTTGCTTACGCACCTAAATAACATCTGATTCCTTCTTTCTTTCCCTTTCTTTTTCACTCAGAAATTCCCTGTCATTGTAATGACACCCTTTTTCATTTGTTACTTATCAATATTTTCATTATCTCTTAGCCCTGTGTGTGGCTGCTTATCACCTACGATTCGTCTCGCCTTTCTTTCTGCCTTCCTTTCTTTCTCTTCCTTTCTTTGCCTCGTAAATGGTGCCACATCCCTATATAAAATTTTTTAACAGTCGGATTTTCTATTGTAGAAATAGTACTTAGGCAAACCAGAGAGTTGGTCAGACATTCGTTTTGCAGTGGTCAATCGTTAGAGTTTCTGCAATTACAGTTGTTAATATTATCGACATTATTTACCTTGGAATTAGCATAATTACTACGGTTTATATATCCGTTAAATATTTAATTATTATGTTTCTAGAAATTCTTTCAGATTATATGTGCAGCTATGTCTTAGTTTTAGTATGTTTATGTTAAATATTTTACTGAGGGGATTATTTCTGGGGACATGCTTATCAATTAAAAAGGGGGAAATTCTGCCCTAACTTAATACTAAGCATTTGGTTAAATGGGGGTGTGTACCAAATGATTTTTCTGTTCCTTTTCGATCATTATTATCACATTGTCTGTACTTGATTTCTTTGTACTTGTAACCACTATTTTTAAGGCATTATTATAAACCCTGGTGTCAAAACTACGTTAAATTAAAAAATAGCCGAAAAAATGGGAAAATTTTGATTTTGGTGAAATATGGTTTTAAATATAATCCTAGACAAGGTCATGAGTAGCAGACAAGAAATTGATCCAAACGAGTGGCAACATGTATCATAATTATGAAACAAATGTTCATTTTTATATGAAGCTATTTTATCGCTATTTAAATGGAAAATGTTGAAACAAATTACATTCCTTAGTTCCACCAATCCTAAACCTTGCGTAAAAAAAGTGTACAATGAAATCATAGCAACTTGTTGGGTTAACTTTCTTCCTTCTTCTCTAATTTGTATTCACCTCGTTTGGCCACTCGTCTTTACCTACTAAAATTCATTCCAATTTTCCATTTAATAATGTTACGTCTGAAGATTACATCATAAAAAGCGATTTTTTATGATTCCAAGTGAATACCGCTACAAAAATTAAAACCTAATGTTAACTGAAAATACACATCGATGTCAGCTGCAAAACATCTCTCTCTCTCTCTCTCTCTCTCTCTCTCTCTCTCTCTTGATATCTGCATGTATTCTACTCTCTACCTTTATAAGAGCTAGATCAGGCCGAAAATGGGACACTGTTGCCATATATGGGCGGGAACTGCTCATTCCCCCTCTTTCCAGTTTTCATAGAGTTCAAAAGCGTCTCCGAACCCTTGTGGGAGAAGAATTATTTCCAAACATCTTTCTTACAGGCGGGATGTGGTGAGTCACTGCCCTATTGCTGCTACCATGAAAGGTGCACAGATGAACTCCATTCCTTGATTCAGCCAGAGTTAAACTTCACAGCTAGCACCCGTCCATGTTATGCACATTTTAGCAAACCACCCACATCCGCTCCGTCATCTATTAGCGAAAAGAAAGTTCCATTCAAACCGCTTCTTCCTGCGAACCACTGTCCTGTGGAACAGACTTCCAAGAGGAAATTTCCCCGATCGCTACAATATTACGTATAGAGTTAACCGCCATCTTACCCTCCTATAAACTACCCCTTAACGCAACCCTTTCCTTCGAGTGGCACCCGGGCCTTGTACAAGGTGAACTTTACCGTAAAAAAAGATCTAATTTTCCATTTTCTTTGCTTCCTCGATTCCACATAGCAGACTAACTATAGTAATTGTGCCAATGGTGGCTCGCCTTCTGGCTCTAATAGTTGTGTATTTGATGTTAGAGATTGTTGTTCGATTTCCAGTAAAAAGAAAAAAATATCCTGAAAGCAAAAAGATTAGCAAAGGTAGCAGATTGATGATAATGTTAACCTTAGACATTTTGCCTTTCTTTTTCTCTTGCTTTTTTCTTTTCTTTTTCTTTATTTTCTTCATTTCTTTCTTACATTCTTTCTTCTTACTTTCCTTGCGTTTCTCTTTCTTCTTTTTAACGATTTTATTTTCTTTCCTTTTCTTTTTTTCTTTCCAGTGGCCTTTTCTTCCACTATCTTCTATCTACAGTTATTTTATTTACTTTCGTTCTTCTTTTTCTGTATTCTTTCTTGCTTTCTTTCTTTTTTCTTCTTTTTCCTTTCTTTCTTCTTTTCTTTGCTTCTCTCTTTTTTCTTTACTTTTCATTTCTTTTCCTCTGATCTTTTCGTTCATATCACTTTCTTCTTCTTTTCTTTCTTTTTTGTCCTCCCTTTTCCATCCTTTCTTCTTTTCTTCGCGTCTCACTTTTTTCTTTATTTTTCTTTCCTCTAAACTTTTGTCAATGTCGCTTCTTTCTTTCTTTCTTTCTTTCTTTCTTTCTTTCTTTCTTTCTTTCTTTCTTCAGGACCGATTCCATTTCTTCTGCTTCTATTCTTCATCTCTTCTTTACATTTATTTCAGCTTCTGTTCTTCTCTCCTCTTTTTTCTTTTATTTTTCTCTCTTGCTTCTTTTTCTATATTTTTCTTTTTTTTTCTCAACAACACTGATTCAATTTTCACCGCTTCGCTTTCTACAAATGTTTTTCTTCATCCCAAAAGCCTCATCTCTGCTCCCAAATCCAATCCGTCCTTATAGCTAGCCACCTTATAGACTTCTGAAAACAGCATGGAAGTTCGGCATATGTTCTTGCCGACACAGCTTTGGCTTACAGATCAGAAAACAATAAAAACAAACGCGGTTCTCGAATATAGGCCTTGTCTAATTACGCACTGACTGTTCGCGAAAAAAAAAGGAAAAAAGAAAAAAAAGAGCTTGAATTCCTGAACGCTAAGCCAAACATTGGGTAAACTTTAAAAAGAGAGAAGGAACAAAAGGTTTACACGCACTTCTTAACATTGGCTGATGATAAAATAATAGAAGACAAAATGGCTGCGTCAGAATAAAAGGGAAGGTGGCGTTAGCGATGAATTTGTTGTAAAATGAAAAGTAAGTACTTGGTTAACATAGATGGATAAAAGAGGTTGGTTAATTTTTAAAAAAAAAAGAAGAGGAGACTGCGAAGTTATCGGCGGACATCGCAGAGCCTTTGTATGGATCAGTATGGGAAGGTTCGAGAATTGGGTGCAATAAACCTTAGGATAATATGTCAATGCAAGTTATATTAAGGAGACGGGGAAAATACGAGATGATAAAAACAGGATATGGTGTACGCTGTAAAGATAACGAGTACGTATCTATAAACCAATCGCTGGTGTAGCCAATTCGGCCCAAATGAAGGTCTCCGTTCTTCTGTATTTTTATGTCAGTTAAAACTAACCGACCTCGTGGATTAAACATTTTTGCATTTCTCAGCTAAATAAGAGAATTTTCTGTGATACATTATAAGGAAGGACGGCTTGGAAAATTGAGTACTCACAGGTTGCAATAAGGGAAGGAAGGGTAGACATATATAGCTAGTAATTCACCTCAAGTTCTGGTGAATGGATGACAGAACAAGGAAAGAAGGGAAAGGCTAAGAGTCAGATATGATTTAGACCAACAAGATACAGAGAATTGTATCATGGTCGGCCATTTTTACAATGTACGCGACACAAACAAGGAGAAATATTTGACTAGGCGACTAATATATGAATTAGTACTTAGTAAACATTTTAATTCACCTTTTCTATATTTTCATCCCGTTTTTATTTTCTTCTTGATTCGTATCCTCTTTCATTCTTCATTTTCTTCAACATCATTACTCTGTTTTTCCTTTCTATGAACGTTCGTCTATTCCTATTCTTTTTCACCTTTGTCTGCTTTTTATACACCCTCTTACTGCTTCTCGTCTTTTCACTTCTTACTAACCCAACATCCATTTTAATAGGTGAAAATAGTATTCGTACAATGTAAATACAGTAATGCACACTTATTTAGTGATACACACTTATTTAGCTACTATTTGGTTTAGTTTAACACGTTATTTACTATTCAGCGTAGCACCGGCGGTAAGTGCAGAAATGTTACATTTACGATGGTTACCACGTTTACAACATTGTGTTGAACATTTAGGCAGACATTTCGAACATCTACGATGATTGTTTAGTTTTTGTATGAATTACGATAGCTAAATGAATTTCTTTCTGAATTTATCGTTTTTTTTTTTTTTACTGGGCATCCTGTAGATTTGTTAGATGACCAATGTCGTCGGTGAAACTGACCCGTCAGTTGGTTTACTTTCTTTGGTTGTGGGGGGGAGCTTACATTTTTAATTTTGATGTTTAAGTTAGCCTAGCCTCCGTTCTTGAAATATTGGCAGAGTTCAACCTTTCTCACTGTCTCCGTACATATATTTAGCCTTATGCAATAGTGACGAAAGAACTATTTACATATGAAGTTAAATTGAGCGAAGACATTGTTTCTAGTCAAACTCAAACTGACATCAATATCTGCATAAATATTCCATCATTTTGCACTCGTACAAGTAACATTATCTCCACCATTGAAAAGAGGGTAATTTCTTCTGAAGAAAATACTTTTTTTTTCTTCCTGATTGCTTAATGTCTATAGAATTCCGGATTTTTTTGTTCGCCCTTTCCGATAAGAATCTACCAAATCGTCTATCTGAGCAAGATGAGCTTTCTATTTATTTTCACACCTCGCGCGTTTGCCGTTGCGACCTTATTTTGACGCTGTTAGAATAATATTTGTCTTAAAACGATGTTTAAGACTTTTATTTGGAGACATCGTCTTGCTTGTTTGTTTGCTTTCCTCTTTTTTCAGCTCTTTGCTATCTTTCTGATTTTTTTCTTATGATTTATCGCGATTCTTCAATATACTTTTCTCAATGACATTCCCCAAACCAAACATTTTAATTCAGCTTTTCTATTTTTTCCCTCCAGTTTTTATTTTCTTCTTGATTCGTATCATCTTTCATTCTTCATTTTCTTCAACATATTTACTCCGTATTTCCTTTCTATGAATCTTCATCTATTCCTATTCTTTTTCACTTTTGTCTGCTTTTTATACACCCTCTTACGGCTTCTCGTCTTTTCATTCCTTACTTAAGCAACGTTGCTGTTGTAGATTTCTTCTTCTTCTTCTTCTTCTTCTTCTTCTTCTTCTTAGAAGAAGAAGAAGAAGAAGAAGAAGAAGAAGTTGAACGATGGGCACTTTCTTCAGACCTGGAGTTGACCTTCAGCGTGAAACTGTCAGTCACCATGCAATGATGATTTTCGTCCAAAATGTTTATATCTATAAACGCTCTGTCTACAAAATTAAGCACCCTTCTTTCATAAATAAAGTCATTTCAAACAGTACATATATATATATATATATATATATATATATATATATATATATATATATATTCCTTTTATCATTCTTATAAGGTGTCCTGTATTTTAGTAAATATTTCTTTAAAAGTGCATTTTAATGCACATAAAAATAACATTTTTCCAGTAACCCATTAATATAAATAAGTAAATAAAACAGAAAATGTTAGTATATATATATATATATATATATATATATATATATATATATATATATATATATATATATATATATATGGAGATTCGGGAGGAAATCTGGTCTCAAATGAATGACAAACGCAGGAATGAAATATAGCAAATAAATGTATTGACGTAATAATACAATTGGTAATACGGTTAGTAGATCCAGAAATGCGGTTAGTAGTAATAATAATATATATACAGTTTGGGAAATTCAGTATCGAAGTAGGACTTCCTTCTGAGTCTACATGCTCGCAACTCTGACTCCTACAAAGCGGTTACCTCACACTCTCACTCTCTCACTCACTCTGTCACTGTATCACTGTAGCACTCTCGACTCTGTATCACCCTCGGGTATTCACCGGCAGCAGTACAGTACACACTGGGCAGAGTCCACTTGTATACAAAGTGGGTGGACCCCTTAACAATATATATATATATATATATATATATATATATATATATATATATATATATAGAGAGAGAGAGAGAGAGAGAGAGAGAGAGAGAGAGAGTGGGGGGAAACATATTCGTACACATACAAAATTTGATTTTATTGTATTTCCATCTAATGAATAAACATATTTTGAATATAATTAACTGTACACAATGCATAATAACTAAATATGCGTTGAAAACATAAAAATATTTGATTTAATATAAATAAATCATATTTATCCATTTTAATAACTGAAAATTATTCGTACAATGCAAATATAAGATTTTAAAACTTTAAAATTGCTTTAATACTCTATATTATTCAAATCGAATATTCTAGAATATTTCAATAACATTACCAGTAGTAAATTTTAGCTGAAAAAATACATGAGAACATTCTGTAATTGATTTCATCATGGCAAGAGGTGAAGAATTGACAAATTCGCAAAATAAACTGATTGTTAAGCTCTGAAAAGAAGGTAAAAGTTACAGAAAAATCTCAAACAAACCGAATATTCCAATTACTGCCATTAGTTCATTCCTTGCAAATTATTTTAAAAAAATGTTGAAAAACAAAGAAGAAGTGCTGTAGGAAGATTTCTGTAAGATCTTTGAGGAAATTAATGAATCAAATTAAGCAACATTCGATGGTTACTTGTCAAGGGTTGCAGGATGATTTGCTTTCCTCAGGAATCTGTGTCTCTAAACGGACAATATGCAATGGAATTTACAGGAACAATTTAAAATCACGCCCCACCCCCTCGGAAATCTTCACTGCTATTGAAAAGACACAGAGATATCAGGTTGAAATTCGTTCGTAAACATAAGGATAAGGAAAAATCGTATCGGGAAAGAGTATTTTGGACAGATGAAACCAAAATTGATTTGTTTGGACGTAATTCTAGAAAGCATGTATGGAGAAAAGATGGCGATGCCTTCAAACAAAAGAACATTGTTCCAACAGTGAAATTTGTTGGTGGGAGCATCATGGCTTAGAGATGTTTTTTTCTGCAAAAGGTACTGGTAACATATCAGTAATAAATGGAAGAATAAATTCTGCAGCATATCAAAATATTTTGGAAGTAAATTTAATGATTTCGGTTGAAAATCTTGAACTTCCTTCTGACTGGATCTTCCAAGATAATGATACTAAAAACACTGCAAAATCTATGGAAGCAATGATGTGCTAAAAATAATGTAAATATACTGAAATGGCAAAATCAGTCCACAGATTTTAACCCATTCGAGAATCTGTAGCGTTATTTCAAAATTCAAATCCAAATGAGAACTCTAACAAACATCCTGGATCTGAATATCACACGCGAAAGATAGAACAAACTACCAACTAAAATTTTGCCCATCCTGGGTATGACGATAAACTACATCCGCGTTCTGGGTAAGACAATAAACTACATCTAACAGCAAGGCCGCTGATCAGGAAGTTTTGAGAAGCGTAAAAAAAATAGGTGTTGATACCAGCAATGAATTTTTGAAAAAAAAAAAATTACTAGCAACACATTTTTGAAAAAAGAAATATTACCAGCAATACATCTTAAAAAAAAAAGTATTGCCAGCAATACGCTTGATGAAGACAAAATATTACCAGCAATAAAAATTTTGTCAGCATTAAATAACCCATTGAGGCTGATATGCCGTAAAAAAAAAACAATCCTAAAATTTGCAAATAATTAATTGAGAACTACA